TGCTGCTTCATTTTCAATCACACTATCCTGCTACAAACGTAATATAAGGAAACCATATCATTAGAAAATGTTAGTTGAGAATCAAGAATTATTTTTGTAGAAATATTGTAAAATTGTGATATTTATATCTATTTACACTTCTTCTGACAGTTTTCCAATTCATACTTTTTCAGCTGTTATACAATTTTTGCTGAGGGTCAAACATGATCAGGAACGTTCTTATTTCTGTGCATTACACGTGGAGCTGGAGCCAGGAGGTGATTAGCCTAGCTTAGCAATTTGATAAAAACATTTTTCCAACTTAATAATGATACACATGACAGAGATGTGTGCATTATGATGCAAGAATAGTTTGAGAGGTTTCTTTGGGTTTTGAGTGTAACGCTGTGAAATTGGGTGAATTACTTACCTTGCAATTATTTAGTTAAAGTAACTACAGTCAAGCTGATAATATCCACAAGGGAACAACCTACAAACATTTGGAGCATCTCATTTTATCTGCCAGTAAAGTCGTATTATTAAATCATGTGTAATTCATCTTTGATAATTAAGTTTCAACTGATTTATGTGTACATCTGTGACCCTCACACAGAAGAACATTTCTTTACATGCATACAGCATTCATTCTCTCATTTCTATCATTTACCAGACGGTGCTGTGCATCTTCATCAGCTGAGGGTCATCCCATCGAGTGATAATTCAGAAGTAAAAGAAAGTCTGTTAGTCAATTATATAAGTGAGCTTGTTGTCAGTTTTAATAAGAGAAAATTACAGTAGTGGACTAAATAAATAAAAAATATTTAACACTGTCAGGCTTTGGCTTATTGCATCTGACAAGGTTTTACTTTTCACTTCAGTGAATGGTGTTTTTATTATGTCAGTAAGTTTCTCTTCAGCTTTCTTGCTTCCTTTTCCATTTACAAAGACTGCTTTAAATCCTTGTCTATACACTCCACTTCAAGCTGCTAAGGTAGTGCTGGGAGATAAAGTTTCAGAACTCTTTCTTACTTGACAGAAAGAGAAATACTGTGTACATTATGGGTAAGTGTCTGAGCTCTTTCTTGAAGTTAAAAGAAAGAAGAAAACAAACTACCCATAGCTTCTATACCTGATAGCTAGTTTGCATGATAGGTTTTATCAGTTATCCCATCTAACGCACTCTGGGGTCAATCTTTGGGGAGAATACATGATGAGGGAGAGAGCAAGGCTTCTACATCACACTTCCTTTGTGTATTGGTAGAAAGACAGGGGAGCTAGCATGTATCCCTGAGGAACACCTGAAGGGACAAACTATACAGAGAAGGTGTCAAGGCCTGTGTACTGTTCAACTGAACTACCTTGCAACTATGGTCATTTCATGACACATGGAATCAGAGTTTTTTTTATCGTTGATTCAAAATATCTCACTGTGATAAGCGGAAAATCTAATCCGACCATCTTTCATCAGAGGCATTCATGGTGTTGCAAATGTTTGCACACAGGAATGAAAAAAGACAGCTTTAGACAGATTGTTTTGCTTTCAAGAAAGATGCAATTCAAAATCTGGCGCAGTTTCAGGGACTGTTCATTACCAAAGATGCCATATGCCTTTGGGATGAAAACTCAATGGGGTTGTAAGAAGCACTGTAATCATAGAGGCCGAAGGGGGGCAGACAAAATTCAGGACAGACAAGGAATTACCAACCAAAAATTGTCTTAACGGGTAAACTGTACGGAGTCTACAGTAAAAATGATCCGTCAGGTGGATGGAGTTATGTACACTTAGCGCTGTACCTCACTTGTGTAGCACGGCTGCTCTCAGAAGAAGCCATTGCTGACAACACTGCATAGTTTTCAGATTTTTCAGCCATCTGAAATGACCTTGTTCCACATTTTCCCTGAGGTGAAAAAATATTTCAGTCACACATACAGTACTTTAGATCATATGTGTGCAGCCTTAAGGCAAACTTCAGCAGTGCAAAGTTATTCAACCTCAAGTAGTATGTCAGCAAAATGCTCTCAACAATAATAATTCATAACAATGATGTCAATTCCCAGTTCACGCTTGACTGTGCTGACACAGTGTTCATGGTACTTTCATTATTTGGTCGTTCAGAGCTTGGAAAGGGGCACATACAGTGTTTCATGGGTTGATTGATATATAGATATTGTTTATGTTGAACACATTTTTGCATTGCTACAGCTTGATGCTAATTGACATACACATGTATGGCAGCTACTGAAGGTGCCTGTAAAGCAAATTTATAGATAAATATAGAGAGAATTCACACATTTTACAAGAGAGCCTGTACGCTGTCAATGCCATTTGAAAGAATAAATGTAATATATGCCTCACAATTCTAAGTTTCACTAATATCCAGTAAATAATTATATTTTCCATCCACAAATGTGTGGGCCCAAAAGAACATTATCTTGTACATATCTTTGTACTGGTCACTGTTATCTAGATACACTTATTATCTACTTTGTCTTCATCCTCTGTCCTTCCATTTGAATTAATCTCTTCGTCCCTTCTGTCACTGATTTACAGATTAATGAGGTTTTTGGTTCTTATTTAGAATCTTTTCTTTGTAAGGTGTCAGACTTATTACGATTTGAGCCAACCTGACACACAAAGGCACCGAAAAAGCAGCACATTACACCAAGTGGATAATGATCCTTAAATCCACCTTTTTAATGCCCTCAAACTGGCAAAAGCCAGAGGCATTATGTTTTCAGGTTTTCCATCTGTCTGTCCCACTGTTGTCAGTGTGATATCTCAGGAGAGGACATTTCTTTAAATTTGGTACAAAGGCTCACTTGGACACAAGGATGATCTGATCAGACTTTCTTGGTCAAAGGGGAAAGATCAAGGACGCTGTGTGTAACAAAACATGAGAGTGATATCTCCTTAATCCCATGAGCACATTTTTTCTTTTCAAGTTTGGCACAAACGGTCACATGGATTAAATGATGTTCTGCTCCGAATTTGGTCATAGGTCAAGGTCACTTTGACCTCAGGTCACATGTTTTTGGCCATATTTCATGCATTTGGAAAGAAACTGATGTAAAGTGCAACAACCACAAGGTGATAATTCTAGTTTCTTTCTGTATTTTGTTTTCACCAAACAGCCATTCTTTGAGCTTTCCTAGAGCAGAATAACATTTGTTCACAAATATAATGTCTTTTTACAGTGAAACTTTCTCAAGATATCGAACATCTTGGAAGTGGCAACAAAAATATATAACGTTTTTGACTTGCTCCTTTCCTCTGGCTGTTATCATATATTCTTGGTGCTATGTTATTGTAGCAGCACTGTTTCAGAAGCCCAGGTTTAATGTAAAATTCTGATCCTTTGACGTCTTTGTTCAAACGCTCATTGATGATTCATTCTGCCTCACTTCCTTTTGCAGAAAAAGCTAAATGCTTATATCACGCTGACCCTGAGGCTGCTAAACTACTGCTGATACTTTACTGAGCTATAAGATGGTGGCAATGGTCTAAGAGTCAATTCCAGTTTTTCTTTCTTCTCTGTTTGACTCACCCCACAACCCTGTCAGATGAGCTATGAGTACACAGTACAGCCAAAGTCCTTATAGGCAAGTCTCACCAGTTGGCAGCCATCTTGGCAGTTATTCTGGGCTAACAAGACCAGGCCCCAGTCCAAATGAATGGGGAGAGAGCCCCAGAGAGAAGTGTGCTTTCAAGAAACTGCATGCATAGAACCTGTCAAATCTGATTTTTATTTCAATTTGTGTGTTTGAAAAACTAAAGTTGATCTTCTGTGCTTTTTTGAAGTCCTGCTACCGCATAAGTTGGAACTGTCGTGAACCTCAACTGTGTCAACATGTTTGGCCTGAAATGTTTTCCAGTTTGGTTGTTGTCATAACAATTGGGCCTCATGCAAGAACTGTTCCTACGTCAGATGTGTTCAGTTGTGCGTACGAGTGATTGCTGAGAACCAATTTTCTCGTATTTCGAGGTTTTCTTAAAGGTACAAACAGAATTTTCGAGTGGTCCAGACCTGTTGTTGGTGTCGTGTGAAATTCGGCCACTGTTTTCAAAATCTCTTAAGTCCACTACTGATGCGTGAATCTGCTAACCTCATTTGTTGTATCTGATGTCACAAGTTGATGAAACTTCTCGTGACAAAATGTGGGAACAGACACGCTCAAATACAAAAGAGGTGCAGGAAGATTGCACTGCAGCATCACTCTCTCCATACTTCATTGTCACTAAATATATCATTGGCTTCATTGTCGCTTAGTGATTAAGTAAAGCCTACAGTGCAAGTGAATGTAATAAGCTGTAGCCTGAGGCTTTTCTGGGAAATCTCAAATCTTTGTAGCTGAAATGTTGGACTTAAATAAAGCAGAGCAGATTGAGATGAAGTTCAGGCTCTAAAAAGTACAAATTACAGAATGTCGTTATGACAACGTCTTGTATGTGGAGTGCATTAAAGGTCACAGATCGTTAAAAACTCTGTAAGACATATTTTTTTGTCACTGGTGGTAGCTCATGCATGAGGCTCCAAAAATATTCCATCATGTTTTGAAATGTTGCCGAAATGAAGGAGTGGGTGTAAACCTGCTAAATATCGTTTGTGATGTTTTTTATTTAATCTACCTGACTGGTCACAGCTCTCTCCATCTCTCTCCATCTGTCTGATTCTCTCCATCTTCCCCTCATCTCTCACTGTCATCCCCCGCTCCTGCATATCTCACTTGTCTCTTTACTTCATTGCTCTCCATCTACTTGCATATCTCATCTCTCGATTCCAGCCTTCTGCTTTTCACAATCTTTTCCTGTATGTATCCCTCCATATTTTGTCACCCCCCCTTTCCATCATTTTCCCAATGTGTTATATCTTTGCCCATATCTGTCTTTCTCCATCTCTCATCCCCTAACCCACTCACTCTATTATAATCTTTACATCTCTGCATCCACATCTCTCTATCGTTTCTCTTCATCTGCTTTTTTCTCACCTTTTCTTATGATTCTGTCTTTCTGTCTTTTGCAGCTGGCATTGTTCGGAAAAAGCAGTGGTGTGAGATGGTGCCATGTTTGGAGGACGAAGGCTGTGACCTGTTAGTCAATAAATCTGGCTGGACTTGTACACAGCCCGGAGGCCGAGTCAAAACCACCACGGTGAGTTCAGGCTCTCTTTTAGCCCCGTAGGTAACAATCCACTCGCAGTAAACCAGTAGATGTGAGGAAACTGTACCCGCTGCACCCGTGGCACTGACAACATGAGTGTCAGAGTGGGAACATGAAGCATCTGCACAGGAAATCCATTTTGCAGTGAAATCTAGTCTAATGTTACTTTTAATAACAGTTTTCTTACATCATATGAAACTTAATTGTCAATTCATCATTCAGTAAAATATAAAATTGTTGTGTGTTGGCTCCATAAACTGTATATAAAGATGGACGGCATGACATCAAACTGATTGTATTATTTGATGCTATATGGGGTTGAAACGTCACGATTCACAGCAAAGACTAGCTCGCGATTGGTCGACGAGGACAGGACTTCACTACTGTGACTCCACCCCTCTATTACTACACCATGCAGTAATTATATCCAGTGAACTCTGGCTTCATTTCTGACAGTGCTACTTGGTTTAAAACATGTATGTTTGTTCAGTGCACTCCAATACATATAAAGTCCACAATGTAAGCTCATGCTCCTTCTGAAACACAAATAAACGTTTTTTTAAACTCCACACATGGTGATTAACAACAGTTTTTCACATTATACTGATGTGCTAATTAATTGCTCACATAAAGAACCCCAGTGTGTAAAGACCTCCATTCATTTGATCCAATAATAATATGAAAATAGTGCAGGTTTAAACGCCCTAATCAGGAAAATATTGGGTCCTGCACGAAAATTGAATGCACCCTAATCGCTACTTGTGGCTCCTGTGGTTGCTGTTGAACATAAATGATGGAATCTTGTTTTATTGAATTACACTATGGTGAAATACATCAAATCTACTTGGCCATCCAGGCTCATGATTGCACCTTTAAGCACTCTAACTGCTGCCATATTAGTGCACTGTGGGCCAGCATGCACACTCAGCTCCCGGTTTAACATTCACTTCACAATCAGCTGAAAATGTTTCCCTCCTTGTCTTCAGCTCGTCTCTACAAACTGTACACGCTGTTTGTCTACTTCCTCATCGCCGGCAATTACCTTGAATTAGGGACGCTCTTAATGTTAATGATGGCAGCAGATGGGGAGCCGGTGCTTGCATTTGCGAAAGATGCCGCCCATTCACTCATCCGCTCGTCGTCTCCAGCCCTCCCCCTCTGTACTTCACCCCCAACTCCAAAACACACACACATGCACACCAAAACACGCCATCCTACCTCCTTACACCCACCCGTAATATTCCCCCTGCAGGCTGTGTTGGAAAACACGTAAACACTGTTGCTCTCCTGTCCGTATGCACAGTCTATACTGTAGCAATTAGAGAGGTCTGAGTCAACAAACATGTTACACAACTCACTCACACAATCACACACAACACGGCTGCCCTATCTTTGAATGTCAATGGGTGAGCACTGAGGACCGGTGGGGCATCGTTAATGCATCTGTCATGATTTAGTCATCAGCTGACTAACTTGTTTATGCCTGTCCGCTGAAAGACAAACACACATATGTAGTACGATACACACACACTGATGATATGGGTTGTTATCAGTCGGTCGCGGCCCCCATGCTGACACGTTGCGAGTCGCATGTGTCTGTCACGCACCCTGACGCCACCCTAAATATACCTGGTCACGGAGGTGACAGCTTTTACATGTTCCACACACAGTGTAATTTGTTATCTGGGCAGGCAGAAAGCCCCCCTCCCCACACACACACATACATAGGTAACATAAACATGGCTCCATTTATTATATTTGACAGATATAAAAGTGTGTGTCGGAGGGGGTTGACAATGCAAATATCGCTCTGTGTTCGTAGGCTAATAGATGTAAAGCGGGTGCATTCTGGGCTGCATGTTAACATGCTCTCGCTGGTGTCTCTCGCTGTGTGTTTTCAGCCGCTTGCATATTCATAAATCCGTGTCCGCGCTTGGCCTACATGTACACTTCATATCCTTCTGTGGTTGTCAGTCACGGAGACTCTCATCAGCTTATGCCGACAATATGCAGGATGTGACAGGTATTCCTCGCCTGCTTCATTGGCTACTTTAAGCTCGGTGACAGCAAGTCAAATGGCTGGACAGCTATGTGCACTCATCTGTGCCAGTCCGTGTGTGTCCGTGTGTGTGTGTCCATGTGTGTGTGTGTTTAAGCAGCTTTCACTGTCAAGAATTCTAATAACTGGCAACAAGCAGACTCGGGTCATTGTTTAAAAGTCTTCTGAAAATATTCTCCTGTGTGTGTGTGTGTGTGTGTGTGTGTGTGTGTGTGTGTGTGTGTGTGTGTGTGTGTGTGTGTGTGTGTGTGTGTGTGTGTGTGTGTGTGTGATGGACTGGCCTGACGTGACTGCTCCCTTTAATCTCAAATTGAAGCAAGTCGGGATGATTCGGGACATCACTTCAGGAGCACACACGTAACCTAAAAATTGCCAAAAATGCATTAAAGGTTAAGGCTGATTCTCCCAAAACAGAAATTGCGTAAGCATCTTGTTATCTGCAGACCTGAGGGAGAATCAAGGGGGGGAACATAAACAAACGATTTACTCCTCATCCTCCCTCTGGTTAATTCTGAACAAATGGCCTCTTCCCTAAGGCGTTTCAAGGTTAAAGCCAAAACTGCAGCCACCCCGATATTGCTCAGGGATGACTGTCGGCCGTGCACAGTCCAGTGAGCATGTCTGACCCGTCTGTCAGGTGTTTGTGCAAAACACATCAATGCAGACAAACAGACATTTCCCTCAGGGGTATTTGACTAAGCCAAGTCAATCTGACTCAGCCCCATAGCCCCCATAAAGGGCTATTTTGGACAAATGTCAAGAGGTGGTTTGCGTGTGTTGGTCAAATGCTCGAGAGTTTGTGTTTTCTCTGTCAAACAGAAAGGAGGTTGTTGTTCTGGACGACACCACTGACCTCTCCTCCACCTGTAGTCAGCAACACGGCTCACTTTGAGTTTCTAGGCGGATTAGATGTGTGCTGCGTGTCCTGCCTCAACCCACAGGACGTCACTCAGCTCAGCAGTTTGATGTGCTTCTTTTTTTTAAATAACATACTTGTTTTTCCACTTTTCCTCTCTGTCCATCTCTCCATGCATTTGTCTTTGTGTGACCCTGCTTTGAAGAGATTACATGTTCCAGTCAATAAAAAAATAACGGAGTATAGATTTTTCTAAGGCTGGCGCCAGAAGAAACATATGAAGATTGATATGTACATTGCTCATTGTTGACAGTGACATTTTGAGTGAGGTTGCTTTTATCACCAGCGCACAAAAAGGACACATATCAAACAGAGGTGCACTTGTAAAGCTCGAACAAATATTTGTGTCAGTATCAAGAGTCTTTGTGACACGTTCTCCTCTAAAGCACTGACCTAACAGAAAGTCAGAGGAATCATATCAAGGTTTTAGATTAGAGAGGGCGTCTTGCACAATTTTCCTTGAGTTCACATCTTTATTTAAATCATCGTGCATTTTTAGAGGACTGATATTTATGTGTGTGTGCAATTTGGTTCAGATACAAATACAATCTTTGATTTAGTCCATTTAAATGTGGTTTCATGGGAATGTTGGGCTTTGGCAGAGGTATGCACTCTATATTTATATATATAACTATATTTTACTTTAAGACTGTGAGTTAATTAAGAGCACAGAGACAGTTTTGTTTGTGTAATTCCATGTCAAACATCACTCGTATAACATGAATATATATATATATATACGCCACGTTATATTTTCAGATCTAAATGAAGGAGCAGAATACAATATGTATAAATATAATCTATAAAGTGCCATCAAATTAATCAAATAAATACTTAAACATAAAACTAGTAAAAAAACAACAATCTCATCTTACACTCTGTACATGTATGTATATATTCACTGTGTATTTATCTCCTCTAGCATAGTTACCAACTAGCTTACTAGTAGCCTGTAGCGGTATTGTATTCAGCACAATGCATCACCAGGACTGTGCTGCTGGTCACCCAGGACGTTGGGATCCTCTCTGACCCCATCAGGCTCTTTACACTCCTGCCATCTGGCAGGCGGTTCAGGAGCATCCACACCAGCAGGTTCAGAGACAGCTTTTACCCACGAGCCATCAGGCAACTGAACTGCTGACATTTACACTTGAACACACACACACACCATATACACGTGCAGTAACACCATGGCAAACATGGACCCTGAGGGGAAACTACTGTTTACATTGTTTACACTAGTAACTTCAACTCCCATCATTATTATACACTATTATACTACAACAACTCTTTTTACTTACTGTGCTGTTTTTCATTTATATGTAAAGTCAAATTTAATAACTGTAAAGGTTTGAAGTTTTATCAAATACATGGTTATAAACTACAACTATTTCCAAAGGCAAATGTTTGCTGATAGCAAACTGACATAGATTTTTACAAGTTACGCCAACGAAAAAAAGTAATAGGGCATCCAATACAACTCCTCAACCCTATTAAATATTTCAATAAAAATTGAGTGTATAAAAATTACAAACACTGAAGCATAAATGTTTTTCTGTGTTTTCTATGTCATCATTGTGTTAATATTTGAGGAGCTTTTACAAAGAGTGTCAATCAAATACTTGGTAAAAACCTGTTGAATGACCATGTTTAAATTTAGAAATAAACCTGTTTGCCGTCGTTTGTGCCGCTCTGCTCTTATTACATATTTCACCCTCACAGCTCACAGATTTATGATTTGTGCTGTGTCATAAAAAAAACAAAAAAACTGCACCATTGGAAATATGAGGGACACAGACTAAAAAACAGACTCTGCATGTGCAATGCATAATGATACATTCCTCAGATAATTACCATCGGTGTAGATATCGTAAAAAATATACTTTTACAGTGCATTGTGGGATAATATGGCTCCATCAAATGCGGCATAGGCAGCCACAGTTTCCTGGGTCTTAGCATTAACTAATTCTCGCTTAGGGTCATTATATACAGTTGAGTTGGCCTTTGATTTACATGATTAACTAATGTTTGCTGCAGTCAGATCATATGTTTCTATAGAAACACTATTATGCATCAGGGTTAATTACTCCAAAAATACTTTATTCTCTACATGATGCTAATTGATACGTATATACATCTTATCACACAGTGGCTGCAGTCAAGTGCTGCCTTTCTAAAGCACTTCCTTTTGGAGAGCGATATGTAGTCTCAGCAGTCATCTCCTATAAACCTCCTTCTCTCAGTGAAAGGCTCACTGCTGTCTCTCTCCAGAGGGGAGGATGCTCCACATCGTGCCCTCCACCATTTTAGACTGGCAGATGAAAAGGCGCAAGGAGCTATTTCTCCCTGCATGCGCCGACGCGGGGTGCTCGGTTAGACAGAGGCAGAGTGAGCACGCCATTAGAGGAGGGAAGCGAAATCACCTCGGGTTATCTCGCAGCTTTTGTGACAGCCCGATAAGACGAACAATTCAAAACATGGACAGAAAAGGGAGTGCGAGGGAAGAAAAGAGCGATGTGAGTGAAAGACAGGGAAGGAGATTTGAGCCAGTCAGATTTTTGAAGCATTAAGTCATTTTCAGTTGGTGGCCGTGAGGCTGTGTCTCCCTTCAGTATATGTTTTTGCCCTTTTTTTGACGGCTGCCATATTGTTTGCACAGCCCCCTAAAGAGCACACATGCCTTCGTCGGTTTTCAAGAAATTATAACTCAGCAAGTCACCATGAAACAGCATTCATCATCCTGATATCCAGCCAAATGCAACCAGTTATTGTTGAACACTGCAGTTTTCATTTGTAATAATGCAACACAGCATCATTTTCAGACAGTGCACTCATGAAACAACTGAATTTGAAAAAAGGACTTAATCACACGTTCCAGGAGGTCAATCTGATTGGTGTATTTAGGCTTTGAAAAAAGTGCTATGAGCAGAAGTGGCACCTCCTGAGAGAAAGACTGTGATTACCATAATCAAGACTTTTTCACCGAGGAGAGATTAGATTAGAAAGACGAGTTCATGGGCCTACTGGAGTCTCTGCAAGTGTCGAACAACACGTGAGAGTAGAACCTTTGCTAACACGAGCTCTGACGTATGATTTTTCTGTCTGTCTGTTCGTATGTGCACATTCACACCAACAGCCTTTTTTTCCAAAGGGTGTAATTTACACAAGACGATCCCCAGGCCTGTCTGTGTCTTCCTGTAAGCTTCCGGAGTATTTACACATTTATACAACTGCCAGTGACAGCATGTGTTCGGCCGAATATGAAAAAGCTCTTTCGACTGGGGTTTGTAAGCAAGTGCTGAGGGCCTCCCCCCACCATGCATCCCTTCATTCTCAGCCCCCTCCATCACATCCTCTCTGTATCTCCGTGGAGCCAGCTCAGCCTGGGCCTGATGGGACCCCCCCTCCTTTCACCACCACCACCACCAGCCTCATCACCAATCCCACCCCCTCTGTGGTTGTGGGTCGGTACCGGCCTCGGTAATTGATCCCTCTGGGCCCTCCAGGCACATCCAACTGTAGATTGAACAGAATCACCACTAAGGAGACAGCTGCTTGGCCACCACAGACTGAGAGAATAGGAGAAAAGAGAAAGAGACCCTGTTGCTGCTAACCATTAGCTCTTTCTGCCAGCCTCCTTCCTAGTGGAAGCCAAGTCAGCACATCTCGCCGGCATGGGAGATACCAAGTCTTCCATTTTGGGAAGCTGGGGATTATATTGAGACAAGGAAGAGGGAATAATGAGAGAGCTTGTTCTTTTAGATTCTGATCAACAGTGGATGAGACCGTTGGATTCATTTATTAAGTGACAGTGTGGCAAACCTAAGGCTTCTTCAAGTTTTACCCATTTTTACATGAACAGAACAGCTAATTAAGTCTCTTCCAGTATCTACCATTTTGGAGCATTGAATGTTTATTCCTAGAAGCAAGCAACATATATCAATAAGTATAACACACTCTGTCAAAAATGTATCTCCAAAATCTCCTCCCTTCAGGAGTAAGGAAAAACTGCAGTTTTCAAGTTTACAGTGTATTTTTTTTTTTTGCCTAATATATTAGCAGATACCCAAGGACCTGGATTGGTAATGGTTTGAGCTAAATGTTAGCATGGTAATTATACCTGTTAGACATGTTTAACAGGTATAATGACATAATCACCTGCTCAGTTTAGTATGATTGGCATGCATACATTTGCTCTTGAAGGCATTTGGTCATAAACCAAGGTATTAGACATTTTTGACCTGATGATGAGACAGAGAAAAAGTTAAAGGGTCACCCTCTGGGGATTAAGAATGTCAAGGCCACCCATCCAATTGAGATTGTTGAGTCCTTGGACCAGTTCACATTATAAGGTGTGACACCTGGATGAGACATACTTTCAGGTATTATGCTTGAGTATAAGTGACATTGAAATAATGAATTATGGATGAATGCTGTCTTTTATAGCCATTTCATTGCTTGACAATTCAATGTTAGTGACAAAACAATGGAATAACACAAGGCCTCTTTGTATTTTGCTTTCATGTGCACTATTGTTATGCAGGATAAGTCCCAGTTCCTCTCTCACACTTCTATATTTAACACAAGAGCACATTTTACACCGAGCACGTCTCCAGTTTTATACAAAGCCACGTTTTCGAGACACTTCATGCAGACAAATCGATAACGGTGGTGGTGTTGATGTTGGTGGTGTGACTGTGTCTAAATATGGAAGAGCAAAAAAAAACTCCAAATAAAAGTCTGCATCCTCGTTTTGAGCTTGATAACCATACCGCCTCCCCTTCCTCTCCTCTTCCCCCGCTGCCTCTCTCCCCTCAGGCTCTATGACGCGACAAGAGTCCCCCACCACACTCTTGCACTATGGAGAGCATTGATGACCCCTTGACAGACAGCCAAACACCATCTACCACCACCAACACCACCAACAACACAACAACTCAACCCAAACTCTGGTCCCGCAAAGACAGGAAGCAACACAAGAGCACCAAGGGCCTCATGGAGGCAGCAAGGTACAGAGGAGCTGTTTCATTTGTGACTGTGACACTTACAGTGATTCTATGTTTCTGCAGTGGGCAAAATATATTGTTTCTGTTCTGGAGCTTTATGTCTGAGAAAAATTATTTGCAAGGTCATGTTGATCTTGATGAGGTGTTGATACCGTAATACTCCTGTTAAGTGTGTATTTTGTTTGTGTGTTTCTCTGTTATTTAGCATCATTACATAAAAACTACTGAGTGTTTTACCACAAAACGTGGTGGAAGGATGTGGTATGAGTCAGAGAAGAACCGAATTTGGTGTGGATCTGGATCAGGTGACGGATTCAGGATGTAGTTATTTTTTCTCTCCATTTAAAGGGCGTTTTTGAACATTTTCACAGATTTCCGTGGGAATTATTCCTGAATCTAGATGAATAAAATTTGACATATTTGAGATTCAAATCTAAGAGTGTTTGCAATTTGGTGCGACTTAATTGAATTTAAGGGGACTGTTGGGCCTTCTAGTTTATTAGTCTTTTTTCTGAATCTGATTAAAATCATTACAACCAATAGTATGTCTTTTTATGAGTCCACAAAAAACATCAGAGCATGATTTGCAAACAACATGAAGCAGGGACACAGATACGAGCACACATAAATCCAGATACAATTTAAACAACTGTCTGCTTGTTTGATATCTTTATTTGACTTATTCATTTTTCCATGAGCTCACAAATTCCCTGGCGTGTGTTTAACCACAGAAAATCCATGTGTGCAGTAATACTAGTAAAACCCGTCGGGTTTATTTGCAGCTTGTTTTTTGCTCTGTATTGGCATGCCTTAATATTGTCTTTAAAGTATTGTGTCGGATGGAGTCTGCCCACTCCCATAAAAATGAGGCGCCAGACCGTGCCTGATATTAATGCATGTGATTGGGAAATAGAGAGTGGCCATGCTGTAAATTTAGCGTACAGCGCAATAAAAAGGGATGAGGCCAAAGTCATAAAAATGCCCAGTCTCATAGTCCCATAGAGTTTATGAAAACCAGGCTTTTCTGCTGGTCAATATTGTTAGCATTCATGACCCATTTTATGATTCAGTTTTGAGAATAATATCTGATCCTGCTGCTTTTCAGTCCAGACAGCAAGTCTTCAGTGGACATAAAACTAGAAGACAGGGTGGAATGCATGCAGCAGACTTTTGACAGTGCAGCAGATTATTGTCCATTCACGCACAGAGGAAGCTATAAGATAAGATGACGGTTCCACATCACGTGCAGCACGGTAGCTTACGATGCATGAGGGGATATAATCTATACATTACAGTGTATTAAGGCAGACACTTCAGGCGCCTTCATGTTTGTATCTTAACAAATAAGTGACATTTTGTTATTTGCCCCTGATCCCACTGTGGTTGAATGTGTTCTAATGTTCCCTCTCAGGCATTCAACTTCTGATCATATTGAAGAACGCAGATAGTAAAGAGTGTTTGCTTTGATGTTCTGAAGAAACGTGGTATGAGAGGATTGATAATGACATAACACTCCGGGTAGCTTTGAACTTTCTCTTAATGTGGAATGGGGCCTAGTGTCTGGAGGCCTGCACATACACGTACGTGTATTTTGATCTCAGTATCTGCTTCAGGCATTATTCAACTTCACAGCGTGTAATGAGCGATTTCCCTTCCCTTATTAACCTGTGGATCATTCCTAACCGACGAGGATGAATATTCATGTCGCAGGCTTTTGTGTAGCCGGCGTGCTCCGATCCGAAAGGGAAGCGTGCTCGACTGCACAAGACTCAACGTTAAACAGCGACGACATTAATACAAGTTTAGTCACTTGATGCGAAAAGCAGGAGCACTTAAGAATGACAGATTAGCAGAAAGGGCTTTCGTCCATTAGCTGATATTTTGGCATCAACTTTGCTTCTCTGGAGAAAAGCTTCCAGACCAACTAGATAGAAGTAATGATTCAATCGCACGTTAATTAATCAACCGCAAACCCCTGAGAATTAAGCATTTGTCACATCTGTCTGTGTCTGGATAAAGAGTTCGAAGAGGCAAAGTAGATAAATTTTCCTCCGTGCGTGCTCGTTCACACGTTCAACATGCACGCTGTCCACACTGTGACATTTTGATGGGAGTCAGCAAGAGTTCACTCAGAGAGGAAATGTCAAGCCGGGGCCATATGCTTGGATGCGTTCGCTTTCAATCGGCTAACTCCCCAGCTGGAGAGCGAGTCCATATGTATTGTGAACGCAGTTTACTTTAGCTCCGACAGATGTGGCTGCGTGCACCTTCACTTGAATGCACATGGAAAATGCATATCAAAGCCAGCACAAGTGCACATGCACTCTCATTTATACATAGGAGTGTTTCAGCTTTGCCCGGAGACAGGAAGCTTCATATGTTGTCAACATCCATGAAATCAAATGTTTTCCCTTGCACTCGATTGAAAGCTGCCGGGCACATATTGATATGTATTGACTGGATTGCTTGCACCATAACAAGAGGAGGCTGCACAGGAAAGACCTTCACACAGGACTCTGTGTTACTATGACACCTCCTGCAGGTATCAGCCTCGCTCCAAAGTCCAATTTTCTCTTTCTGGTATTGTTTGAACAGTCATGGCCGCTGCACTTAAAGTTCATCCATGTGTTCAATAGCCAGACCACCACCGCATCACATCTCCCTCAGCTCTGCACTCCCCCAGCTAAAGAATGTAAAATATTCTGGTGCCTTTATAAGATATGAAATAGAGTAATATGGTCGTTTTCCTGATAAAACCCGAAGTAATAATCACCTAGGGCCTGTGAATTTTATTCATAGGGTAAATTCAGCTAATATTCACCTAACGTTCCTTCTTTTAATAGAAGGTCTTCCATTTACATGAGAGAAGATTTGTGTGTGAGATTCATGGGGGACCATTTGCCACAGTGTGGGTGTGAGAAGAAGATAGAGGAATATGGAGAGAGTATAAGGGAATTGCCACGGTGGACCCAGACTATGTGGTGGATTTTACATATAACAACGCCCGGCATCTATTTAAATCCATTTCCAATCAATTTCTCCTGAGATTTCTACAACAGTGTTTGTCCTCCTTCGTTTATCAGTGGCAGCTTGACCGCTCAGTGCTGCTGTAATGTCAGCGTGTCCACTAGGAGGCATTGAGGGCAGGAAGCTGTGCTCACAGCGGGATTAAACACCTGTTTGGGCAGCAGTCACAGTCAGACGGTTCGCACAGTCATGCCCCTGCTTTTGCGCTGTTATACCTCTGGGTCATTTCATGCCCGGCTTCAACAAAACCATGACATTATCTCTATTAAACCCCGAGCTCGTGGAGATGTTTATTATTCCCACTGCGTCAGACACTGTCACAGTGTGAAGCATGCTAGTACTCCATCCAACACCTGCCCCTTTCATGGCAATTTGCACCCTGTGAAATCATCAAGAGTTCATTACTATGAATTAATGCAGCAGTCTTGGAAGGCTCCAGCACCTCTGTCAAGTTGGCTGTGTGACTGGCGGGAGCCAGATGGCGAAGAGGCTTCCAGATATGTCTTTCTGCGGTAGATTAATTGTTTCTCAGTCTCTGCACTGTGAGACAGGCTTTGCTATCGCGTGGCACTCACTGAAGAATTCTAAATATTTGTGTCGCAAAACACGGGTTTGACAGAGGAAGCTGTTGAATGTTTTTATTTTACAATGCTACAATAGTCATGCAATTAACGCCTCCTGAGTAGCATTCAGTATTCAGCTCAATTAAATTTTATATTTAAAGCTCCTAAACACTTCACAGTGTACAGATTGAGGTCAAGATCTTACAATGCACCAACACCAAACACACTGCAGCTATTAGCCAGTTTGGTTTTCTCAACGTTGCTAAAACATTTCTATCATATTTGCTCTGTTCTTGTTGATCCACAGGTCTCTTAACACAGCCAGAGACTGGAAAACCAGGGAGTGACTGTGTGAGGGAACAACCTCTCCCCTGGACACTGGACAAAGTACTCACTGTAAAACAGTTCCTATTTCCTGTGACTGGCTCCTCCGGGTTTGTGACTGCTCCCTCCTGCTATCTGTCGTCGGGTCAACATGTTGCAACCACCTCCTCTCCGCTCTATCTGCCTGCTCTGTTGAAATTGGCAGCACCTGCTCGTGCCACGGAGGATCGGGACACCATAAATAAAATCCCATGAATGGTTTCTCAACTCATCGGACTCCTATTTGGAACAACCGCTTTGAATCAAAGGATTTCCCACATCTGTCTCCTTGCTTCTCTAGAACAGGAGTTCCAGAGCATAGACGGGATCATCACAGACTAGACCCTGTTGCTTCTTACGCTCTCTGCTGTGAATAGGCCTTCTGCTGGAGTAAACCTCTCATATTTTTATAGACCAAAGAGCAAAACAACAAATATGATCATATTAACAGAGCGGACCATCTGGCAAAGACACACAGAGACTTTGTGAACTCGCTGCTTGTGTCCTTGCCGACCAATGACTGCCCCCTCCCCTCACAGAGACACAGTGCACAGGAGGACAAGCCCTGCATCCAGCGGCACGTGCAAAACAAAGGAGTACTTTTAAAAACTCCAAGACTTTTTTTTTTTTTCTCAGACTAAGCCCACCACTGTATTTTGGAACTGGAGATATAGGTACTACATACGTATAACTGTGTATCAAAGAAGAAGAAGAAAAAAAAAAAAAGAAAAATCTGAGTTGCATTTTTCAGTAGCTACGGTTGGGACAGCTTGCGGAAAGAATTGTCGGGTTGGTCGCGGATGAGGCGCGTAAATCATATCAGAGAAATGATGAATATCTACAGAGAGTATAAACGCTGTTGAGTCTGAAAAGGAGGAAAGAAATGTCATTATATGTATTTTGAAAGGCCCTAAAAAGTTATATATTTAACAGTTTTATATGTTGTACCTTTGTAGAGAAGCTTATTGGACTTAAAATGTGGTCACAATGGCAGTTTAGTAGGATGTGAACAAATGCTGTTGTTCTCATTACTGCTGGCTCGTAGTCCCAGGTTTTCTGTTCACACCTCAGTAGCCGCTTTCTTTTCATGGTCATCAACAAGTCTCTGTCTATCAGAACCATTCATGGAGAAAAAAAAAAGCGACACAATTTATTGAGGACTGATCTGCAGCCAACAGAACGTTGTAAATCTATGGTAGTCAGTGGAAGCCATTGAAATCTGCTAATTTGCTATGATATTGTATTGTACACGGTGTGGAATACTGACTCATTTCCTCTCTATGGGTTTTGATCTCTTAATTTATTTTTGTGCTTGTGTTTGTTCGCACAAATCCGGCCTCTCTCTCTCCAATGCCGAGGAACACAACCAGGAGAGAGAGAGAGAGAGAGAGAGAGCGAAAGAGACAGAGGAAGCGTTGCAGAAGTATTAGAGTCATTTACATACATTTTTTATCATGAAATATTTTAAGAATAAATTAAATACATGAAAAGAAACGTCCCCTGCACATGTAGATGCTGCCTGTTGTTCAAGGTCATCAAAGGGAATGCCGTTTACCTCATTCCGGTATGTATGTGTGTGTGTGTGTGTGTGTGCGCGTGTGTGCGCGCGGTGACGCTAAATGGAAGTTTCCTTTTTCTCTCCCAGGTGATCTTCTGGGTTTACGACCAGTGGGAAAATATATGATGGGACAGGCGACGAGGCCTCTCAATCATTCCTGAGACCCATTTAATCAAGGTTATTCTTTAGCCGTTCCAGCAGGTGATTGTCCTGGGAGGATGCCAGGTGTCAGTAAGTGCGTAACTTGCTGGAGAATAACACATCGATCCATATTTTTTTCAAACTTTCCTTTTTATTTCTTCCTTTTTGTTGGGTTCTTTTAGCTGATTTTGGTGCATTTTGATAAAATCATGAACCTGTACCAAATGGTTGAGACGCAAATGTAAAGTAAAAGTGCACTTTTGCACTGACCTGCAGACACTTGACTCCATTAAAAGCGAATAAAATGCACCTATTTGTTTGAACATCCATTTAAACAAGAGCAATGTCTCAACCCCAAATTTTGTATTTATAAATAACAAAAAGGCAAAGCAATGAAAGTGATATTCTCCAAAGTCACAAACACATCGGAGTTATGACCTGTTTACTCAAATCTGGGCTCAGTCTTTGGGCTAAGGTTGAACCAGCCCCAGTGGTTCCACAACTGTCACTGTGCTTAATAGTTAGATTTTGCTTGTATTCTTTGTCACTGATATCTACTGTCATTTAAAACATCTTCGAATTTTTATTTTCCACACTCAAATATAGGACATTCCTGATCATAAGACGACTCTCATTTTCAAGTGTCAGTTTTCAGAAAAAGACTTATTGAAGACAGAGGTGTCAGTGGACACTCGTTGGGGACGTTTCCCAGAGGTCTTCACTGAAGTCTTCTCTCGTGTGTCACATGAAATGCTTAAAAACATTAAAAAAATCTCCGCCAGTCACACACAAAACACTCACACACGTCAGACTTACCACGCTGTCAAAAGATTTGATTTCCTACCAGCAAAATACTCCAAATACACCCAAAACTACTGCAAGGTTAACCGGGCTAACTAAACTTCAAATGCTGGATATGAAAAAAAAAAAATATATAAACTAACTGGAAAAAACTTGATGACCTTGAAAAATTAAAGCTACAAACAGCACTCTTCATAAGCTTCATCTTTAAAATGAATGTTGCTATATTCCGAACAAAACAGAAACAATGTCAAGATATGAACGGTGCAATAAATGTATTTGTGAATGTTAATGTTAAAATTTACGGAAATAATCTCTGCTGCTAATAATTAACAATATCATCTCAATATTAACTGACATCTCAACCAATTGGTAAATCATTTTTAATAACATCGTTGCTGAAATTAAACTACATATATATTATTACCTGTTCATAAACAGGTACATTTTTAGTAACTCTGGGAATCATCTGATAAGGTTTGTTCTGAAAACAGCAGTCAACCCTGCAAATGTTCCAGAGGCATTACATGCATTCAGCTAAGTGCTGGAGTTGGCCGGAGTCAGAATAAATACATAAAAATATCACAACTCAATATTCTCATGCTCAACAAAATGGAAAACAAGGGCTTTATAGGGTTCAACCACCTCAACTGCTGTGTCATGTGGGGTTTGAGTCAATCCCAGCACACGTTACACAAAAGACAGAAAATTACTTTGCAAATAAAACATAACGTAAAATGAAGTACAATGTAAAATGACTCATTGTGCTTTACAATACTGTGGTTTCAGAAGCAGTGCAAGAAAAATGCAATTTAAAAACATCCCAGCTCTGGTGAGAAATTAGAAAAACCACATGGAGAAGAAATTCAAAGAGGGATCAAGCTGTAACAGATATAATATCGTTATATACAAATTCTAGCAGCTGTATTCAGAGCTTAAACAATGAGCTCACACTCCCTCTGATAGAGTTGAGATGTGTTCTGTGCAATAACATAATATGAGAGAAAATGTCCGTCGGAGGCAATAATCCGTATGAGGATGCAATTATGCATTCCACAGGATTCCTTTGTACGATGATGAATGCTGTCATGTGGTTTTCCGCTACTGTTCTCAAGGGCTATTGAGTTCACTTCACTGGATGCCACTTGAAATCATAATTAGGGTATTACCATATGTTCTATGGCCAAGTACGGTTGAATGTTGCTTTGCTTTAAAACAGCAATTTTACATGATACACATGCAGTGAACTTCACATCTGATATACTTGATTTAACCTAATAAGATTAAATGGTCCAACACAGTTGAGGTTAAAATTGTATTTGTCAGTGTTTCTTTATATATATGATGAAACAGTTTTGACTTGACTGTCACAAATAAATAATAATGATGCATATTCTGATCTTATATAAGAAGAAGTAAAGGAATACAATATAAGGAAATGCATATAGTTCAACATTTGGTGAAGCAAATAGAAAAGGAGGTACAACATTTACACAAGAACATTTGACAGTACTGGTAAAATTTGAATTCAGCCTTATTCAGAAAAACATTTTGCCACTTTACTTGTGTTAAAGCTTCACTGTGTGTGAGAAAGACTGTTTTCACTGGGGGTTTTTGTGACATCACATGTAGTGTGTAATCAAAGCCGTGGCTAAACTTGTAGAAGAGAGAGTATCACAACAATTAACACCAGAAGAAGAACCGTGTGATGATATGATAATATGATGATCCCCAGGCCTGTTTAACAGCATATAAGGACACATTTACATTTACACTAACAATGAAAATACAATAAATCCAAAATACACAAAAACTTCAGTTGTTGTTAAGCCAGACAATTATACATAACATAATAACATAAGCAAGTTAAATGATACTGAAATCAACTTATAAATCTAACAGTCATTTATTACTTATTTTAGTTTAAAACAGTTGGATTAAATAGAATTAAACCAACAGATATGATCTGAATTGAGTTAACAGTGTAGTCGTATGCTGTCTGATACAGTCCACCACACTGTTCAGTGTCCAGTGACTGTGCCAAGCTACTTGTATGCAGACTATCTTATCATTTAATACAATACAACTTTATTAATCCCAAAGGCAAATTGATTTATAGGGCAATAAAAATAAATCATGATACAGACATGCACTGACCAACATGCACTTAACATTAGCACAATGAAATAATATAAATAATATATTATATAAATACAATATTTCACATGGCAGAGAAAGTGTGTTTTTCATGTGCCAAGCTCTTATTGAACACACAATGGGTATCTGTGGTTATTCAGAAGTAAAAATACTACACACTGATAATAAAATTGCGACTTAAGGCACTTCCAGGTATAAGCGAAGTATTCGTTTAAAGTATTTGTTATATTCTACATTGCACCTTGGGGAATATGTGTGAACCTCCTCAAACAAGTAGCAGAAATCCACTCAAATCCCCTCTGACTTCGGGCGGGAAACTCAGCCGTTTGATCCCAAGATAAACTACAGGAAGCAGAGGTCTGAACCCTGGTTTCTGCTTCTCTCACGAAATCCTGGTTTGAACCATAATGCTCAGCCATACTCGACTTCTACTCCACCTGTGCACCCCCCACCTCATGACTGTGTACAGAGGAATATCTGGAGCTGGAAATTAAACCTCAGAATAGACCTTTTTTTCCTCCCCTCTCTCCATGAGAGACTGATTGTCGGGCGGAGGGGATGGAGTTAATTACATCTTCAGAATTGAATTCCAATAAACTGCTGCATATCCTTAAGGTTTCTCTGACACTGTTTGGAGTCAAGCCTCCACACGTTTTAATTTGATTAGCACACGACAATGTGGGGTTTTCCTAGCAGGTACAGGCAGAAAGGAGCCCTGCAGAGAACGACGACACAATTGGGGCAACGTATTATAAAGCGAGTACACTGGTGCCTTAGGTGGATGAGCTTCAAAGATTCATGTATCTGCATTTTCCTCTTTTCAAGGGAGGGATGGGAGTGCACGCCTGTGTGTTTGCATTCCTGCATGTTTTGTGTATTTGTCAGTCACCGTTTCTGTCACTGAGCTATGCCTGCGCAGCGGAGACAAGGAGGGAGAGTACACAGGCTGCGTGTGTCGCTCCGCAGCCTGCAGGGCGACCCAGAGGGTGAAGATTCTCCCTCCATTTACAGCCCGGATAAATCTCCCAAATACCAATACTGCATCAGGCTGCACAAAATATTATTATTTGCTTTGATGGATAACACTTACCTGCTAATTCAGATTTCATACTGCGAGTCGTTGTTTACAATATAAATCTAATTAAGTGCTGCCATCACGGTGCGAGGTAGATCGATACGCAATATGACCAGCTCAGCTTCTCACCTCACAAGATGCCGCTCCCTGCCAATATTTTCAACCTATAAAACATGCAGGTTTTCTCACTGTGGTCAATAATCTGTCAAGGTTAGAGAGAGACAAAACATTACCTCAGCGGGTGACACGCCGGCGAGACCATGCGTGGAATCCATCATTGCTTTTGCTTAATAGCAGCTAATGGAGGTTTCACCTTTATACTATTACTGCTATTACTGCTATACTATTGGATATAATGTGGATGAGAAAGATGTCTCTTGTCGTGATGATGTCATCCCTTTTACTGACAGATATATGAAGTGTTTTAGCTTCTTTCAGCTCATTGTTTTGGTTTCCTGACCCACAACCTGAACAACCACTGGTGCGCTTCACTACCACAGCTCATATATCATTAGTTTTGGCCACATCAGGTGTTTTCAGGAAACAAAAGCTCGGATGCTCTTTGCCCAGTAATAAACTGCGAGCTGAAAAACATAACGGTGCATTTAACTGCAGATATTTCTCAAATGAGCTGGTGGAGACCAAAAACAGAGCTAAAATAAGAGTGAATATTAGAATTGTATGGTGTTAGTGTAAATTCAAGAATCTGGCTAATGTTTTCCAAAGCCTCTCTAATACACACAGTTAAGAGATGACTGTATATACTGTATTATATTATATATACTTATACCATAAACAAGTCAGTTGAGTTGTGTTAACAGTAAAAAAAAATAAAGA